GGCACTGAATTATTCCCCTGTTTTGGAATTGTCATACATCTTTAAAAATTAAATAAAAGCACTTTGACCATTAGGCCTTCTTAAATTTTATTTAATGAATTATATATCACAATACTATTTAATATTTTCTCAAATGGAATAAATTTAGTTTTATCACAATTAATTGAGTACCAATTGATATTAAAATGCACTTCAAACAATCTTTTTGTTATGTTAGATTGTTTGGGCTTCTTCTATCCATCTACTTGGGGAAACATTTTTTAAATATGAGCAACGAGTGGAAGCAATTCTAAACAATGTAGAACCAATTTATAGAAAAGGAACTTGAAAGAGCTGTTAGTTCTCAGCCTATCTTCCCAGACCACCATGTGTTATCTGTACTATGGGCCGGTCCTGTCTCAGAAGGTTCTTCCTTATATTTCATGAACTTCACTTTCTCACCTGCCCGGCTGTTTCTTCTTAGATGTGACCTCAGGCTCTTCTTCTTACAGTCCTTTAACTCTCAGTTTTCACCATGATTGCATTTCTGATCCACAAACACATCTTCTCTGCTTCCTTTTCTTGCTGATGAGCTTCAAATCTCCAGACAAGATCTTTTCCTTAGCGTAAAACCCACTATTCAAATGTCCACTATCCAGATGTCTACTAACTCACTTATATTTCCCATAGTCACCTTACTCTTGAAGTTCCCAAGTTAAACTCATGTTTTTCTGTTCAAACCTGCTTCTTTTCCTATGTTTTCTGTGTAGGTTTATCCACCCACTTATACAAGATGGAACCTATGAAGTCATCTTTATTCCTTCTTCCTCACCTACAGCCAATAAGTGTCCAAGTCCGTTTATTCTAAGTCCTAAGTATCTCTCAGTTTTTATTTTAATACCACCCTCATTGCCACTATTTTCAGTTCTACTTTGATTCTTATGTGAAACACAGTAAGATACTCTTAACTGGTCTTTCTACTGTAGAAATTTACTCTTCTAAGCCATGCTCTATACTGCCATGCTCTATACAAATATCACAAGAGTGATATTTGTAAAACACAATTTTGACCATATTTCTACCTAGTTTAAAAACTCTTAAGACTAATTCCATATGTCTAAAGATAGCATCCTGGATTTCCCCCCCTATTCCCCTTTAGCCTGAAGGCATATATTCTCACTCTCACACTCTGGGTTGCTATATATTTAATGGCTTTCAGTTCCTTGACTGTTCTTTGCCTTTCTTGCCTTCCAGCCTGTCAAATAGTGCTCCAACTTCTTGAATCCCCTTCTAATCTCTTTCCCTAACTTCTGATCATCCTTTAGGATTCATCTTAGAGGTGAATTCCTGCAGAAAACCTTTGTTGATGCCCATGGCAAGGCTGAATCAGTTGTGTCTCCTACCTCATTCTCTGGAACCCCTGTGCATATATCTATTTTAGTTAATATCACACTCATATTGTCATTGCTTATATGACTTCCTTTCAATTACATTGTAATGCTGTGTGTGTGTTTTCTTTATTGGTTACTGCAGCCCTACTACCAAGCACAGCCTAGGTTGGCCTATTGCAGGTAATTTATGAATATATATTTAATTAACTAGTAATAGAATGATTGAGTGGTTGATTAAATAAGCTTATTGGAAAATATTCATAAACTAATTGGGAATGCAGTTTTAGGTTTAACACACAGTTCAACATTTCTACTGTTGCCCCACCCTGTGCGTAATTAGTAAAAATGACATAGCTTTAATATGTTTTTGTTTGTAATAAAAGCTCTATAACTGAGAGTATGGGTTTACTGTCTTGGTTATATAGAAGTTATATAGCAATAGGAGTGAGAAATCCATATATACTAACAGAAGTAACATGAAAAATTACAGAAAACTTTAAACACATATACTGGAGCCTTGGGGTGAAGAAAATCAAGGTATTGAGTTTGGTTAGAGGGTAAGATAGTTTTATCAATGAGTGTAGAAAGAAAATAGCATAGTTTTAGACAAAGGTCTTTTCCCAGCAAGCATGTGTGTGTGTGTGTGTGTGTGTGTGTGTGTGTGTGTGTTCACAAATAAATATCTCAGCATGTAGTAAATGTTATTATAGTTATACATAAGAAATAGGTGAATATAGTGAAAAATTAAAGAAGTGATACTCCAGCCGTGGGCAAACTACGGCCCGCAGGCCAGATCTGGCCCGTTTGAAATGAATAAAACTAAAAAAAAAAAAAAAAAAAAAAAAAAGACCCGTACCCTTTTATGTAATGATGTTTACTTTGAATTTATATTAGTTCACACAAACACTCCATCCATGCTTTTGTTCCGGCCCTCCGGTCCAGTTTAAGAACCCATTGTGGCCCTCGAGTCAAAAAGTTTGCCCACCCCTGTACTAAGCCCTTGTCCGTGAGAGAGATTTAAATATAAAACCCTAAAATATTTACTGAGGATTAAGGTAGTTTGTGGTAGAAGTGACTACAGAGTCAGAGAAGTCCAATATTTGGGCAAGTTACCTTTTAAGCTTCAGGTTACTTATTTGGAAAACTGAGATAATACTACTTCATACCTCATTGGCTTACTGTGAGAATTAAATGAGAAGGTAAATTTAATATGGCTTATAGTTAGAATTGATAAATGCCATAATCATTAATACTGCTGTTGACAGCAATGCTTTGATCAAGAAGGTGAGGATTATATTTTTTTCAATTGAGTCCACATGTCAAAAGATCCACCAGGTAGCTATCCATGTATGCAGAGTCTTTTTTTCTTTAACACTCATCTGAGGATGTGCTTATTGATCTTAGAGGGCAGAGGAGAGAGAGAGAGAGAGAGAGAGAGAGAGAGAGAGAGAGAGAGAGAGAGAGAGAGAGAGAGAGAGGTGAGGGAGAACATTGATTGGTCACCTTCTATACATGCCCAGACCAAGAGTGTAACTGGAAAGCTTCTGGTGTACAGGACTATGTCCCAACCCACTGGGCAACACCAGCCAGGCCTCCAGGTCTGTGGAGTCTTAGATCAGTTTTATTTGACAGCAGCCACATTATACTAGACTGAGTTTTGGAGGATAATGTGTAGTTATTTTGGTTGCCTACAAAATCTCATCAGCATGCATCCCTACCATAGGAAAGAGTGAACTTTCTTGTAAAACAAAAACTGTTCTATGGATCCCTTGAAAACTGAATCAATAAGATTACCTGCAATAATCATACTTTATTATAAATCAAATAATCTTCCCCCAAACTAAAGCCATGTCATGTCACATGCTTCCTGGTATGTGCTTTAAAGTAGAGGAATTAAGAACTAGGAAATATTATTTTTGGATTCAACTGTGCTTAGTCTTCAACAAAATAAAACATGGCATTCAGTTTTGCAGAATAAGCAATTAGGTTTAAGTTTTCTTTTTTAAGTAAGCCACTTGGCATTCTACATTGGAATAGTTCAGAAGTTCACTTAAGTTGATATAAACACCCTAAGTTCTCATTCTCTTGTGGATTTAACTAAGCTTTGTTTTAAACACAAAATGTTTTGGAGAGAATATTTTACAAGAAATATTATTAATAGGAGTATTCCTGAATTTTGAAGAAGTTTGCTAGTAGTCACTTTCCTGGTGGTTCTCTCTCTGTACAAATCCATACTAAGTTCACATTGAGAAAAGAAACACATTAGGAACTTTTATTTCATCAAGCATGTGTAGTATGATGGAAAGAGTTCAAAATTTGTTAGAGTCCTAGTTTTACCACTTTCAGCAAGGTAATGAACATTTCTGGGCCTCTTGTACCCCATCTGTAAACTGTGGAACTACTTCTTACTTGAAGAGTTATTGTAAGGATTAAATGAGGTAATATTTGCAAAATGTCCATGATAGCATCTGGCACATAGCAGGCACTAAATAATACCTCTCATCTCTCTTCTCCGGCATCTTTATTCTGTTTAATCCTACCTCTCCTTACCTAACATATATGGCACTCGATTCAAGGTGTAGAGAAGAAATCTTTTAAATCTAGCAAAATTCTACTAATTCAGAGTAATTAAGGCATAGTTTCTGGCTATTACTTTTTGGAATATCTTATGAGGATTGGAGCATAGCACTTTATAGGAGCCAGATTAACAAAATGTTACCTCGTACATTTGCTTTAATGAATCTTGTGATGATAGTAATATTTAGAAATGGGGAAAATAAGCTAAATGGGAGTTAAGGGTATTTTATCTCTTTTTAGATTTTTTGAACCTGAAAAAAATCTCATCATTTTTACAGATTAAGGAATTTTTTTCTAATTTTTTTAAACCACAGTAGTTTCTCCTTATCCATGGGGAATACATTCCAAGATTCCCAGTGGATGCCTAAAACCAGGGATAGTACCAAAACCTATCTATAATCTGTTTTTCCTGTATATACATACCTTTCACTTAAAGGGAGCACTTTACCACTTCTCTTTTGGAATATCCGAAACACTACTTTTGCACTTTGGGGCCATTATTATATAATGTAAGGGTTACTTGAACACAAGCACTGAGATACATTGATAGTCAATCTGATAATGGAGAGGGCTAAGTGTCTAAAGGGCGGAGAGCATTTGCAGCATGGATTAGCTGGGCAGAGGGATGACAGAGCAGGATGGTGAGAAATTCATCATGCTACTCAAAACAACATACAATTTAAAATTTACAATTTTTTTTATTTTATTTCTGGAATTCTCCATTTAATATTTTCAGACCACAGTTGACTATAGACTTATCTAAGTAAAGATTCAGATAAGGAGAGGATTATTGTAAAAAAAAAACAGGGATTTCTGAATGTTTCTGCTTATGTTAATACTTTTAGGAACAATTAGATCACTGACAGAATTTGCCTCTGGCTAGTCCAGTAGGAACTGGCACTAAGAAAGAAAAAAGCTGGAATTGCTGATTAAAGCATGGACTTTTAAAGTAGACTTTCCGGTCAGTTTTGAATTATGTGAAGAAATAAAAATATCCCATAATATTCTAGTTTTAAATTTATTTTTAATTTTTGTTTCTTCATTTTATTTCAGAACTCTTGATGTTTCAGTGAGCTTTAACGGAGGAAAATCTGTTATCTCGAGCTCATTAGTAGTCACAGCCACAGAATGTGTAAGTACAAAGTTTGTATAAAGTTGCCTTTTAAAAATAGTTCTATCCAGAAGTAACTTCCGTGTCCTCAGTGTTGAGCATACTATAGTAAAGAAGGTATATGTAATAAATGAGATCATTACAAGGAAAAATTTGTATAGAGTTTAAGTTATTTTTTTCCCCTGTGGCTGTGTTTAAGGGAATTTTCAGATAGTATATATTTTACTTGGATATTTATAAAATTCAAGTCATGTAAAATAAAAATAAGCTATGAGAATGATTTCCAACTGAAGCATTTCTTCTTGAAATATTAAACACATGAACAGAATGCTTTTTTGTAATGAAGGTTGCATTATAGCATCTATGACATTTATCCTGTTTTCAAAATTATTTGTGCATCTTAATGAATAAGCTATTGTTTTATCCATTTAACTGTTGGCGCTTTCTCATATGATTAAGGAATTTGATTTTGATAGCTTGACAATATCTCAGTTTGAAGCTATATTTTAGTTGAGATGTTGATTTATATTGCCTAAGATGCAATGTTTTGAAATGTAAGCTCCCTTGATAAGATAGTGTTTTCTTTGTAGTTAAAGTTTGGGGTTTATGGAAAATTTTGATATTAGATTGTTTACATGAAAACAGAACACAAAAATGGACTGATCACATGGCTATTATTTTTACAAGTATATTTTCTTCCTAAAAACATGTAAATAAAAGCAAAAGGGAAAACAAGCATGCATATGGGCCCTTGGTCTCTATGAATACCCTAAGGATAGCTCTATCAGTACCTGTTTCTATTTTGAAAATAGCTAGCTTTAGTCCCCTTTTTACCTATAATTCATGTTGTAATTTGTAGGTTTGGTGGATGTTGCAATCTGTAAGTTTTCTGTTCCCTCCGGATGTGGTTGAGATTACAAGCACTTGTGGTATAGCTCACTATTAAGCTCACTGAAATGACATTCTTTCTCCATCCTTCTTCCTATTCTGCACCTCCAGCCCTCTTTTTTCACCTCTTTTCACACAAGCAGGAAAACAAATCTTTTCTGTATCCTGTAACCAGCATGATTGCAGTGTGCATAGATGCTGAGGCTAAATGACTCATCTGGAATTTATAAGTTAGATGCCTTAAGGCAGTCTTTCTACATCTTGTTAGTTCTCAGGAAAACATAATGTGACTTAAAGTGGTTTAAAAGTGAGGTGAAAAAGAAAGAGTCAGGTGATTTCAGAAAAAGGGATATCGGTTGTGTCATAGATGGAGAGTGAAGGGACAAGCTGTAATATTAAATAAAGGATCAAAGCAATTTTCATGGAAAAGAGAGTTGAGAAAATACTTAAGGAACGTGAGGGAGTGAGCCCTGAAAATCACTCAAGGGAGGAGTGTTTCATGCAGAGGGAGCAGCTAGAACAAAGCCTGCAGTGGGACTGGGCCTGGCAAGTTAAAGAAGAGACAAGTGGTTAGTTTTCTGGAGGCGAGGCAGTTGCGGGGAGTAGGAGTCTTGAGATGAGTAGGCGGGAGTGGAGGAAAGGAGACAGGTTTTGTAAGTCATTGTAAAGACTTAAGTTTTTCTTCCGAGTGAAACAGGGGGCCTTGAAAGGTGACTCGTTATGGCAATGTTTTAAAAGGATCATTCCAGCTCTTACGTAAAAATATACTTTGCAGGGAGGGTCCAAAGTGGAAACATGGAGACCGATTCTGTGGCTTTTTCCGTAATTCAATTCTAGGCAAAGGGAGTGTGGCTACACTATGGAGATAGCCATGGAGATGGTGAGAAGTTGTTGGATTGAATTTAAATATATTTTTAAAGATGGTACCCATGGAATGGACAGATTAGATGTGGGTGTGAGGGAAAGACATTAAGAATAGTTTCAAGCTTTTTCATCTCTGCAACTATGGTGAGTTGTCTTCAGGTTGAGTAATTTTTGTAAGAGGACAGTGGGTAATATTATGGAAAATACCTGGGCATTGTATTTAATTGAGATCCAGTCTTCCCGCATATTCAGATGTGATAATTAGGTGAGAGGCACTTTGTGATGTTACTCATTATAAGGTGATACTTTGGGTTTTACAGGCATTTGAAAACCAAACAGAAGAAACACCATTATTTTAGCAACGATTAGTTCTTGTGGCAACCCCACAGATACAGAAGCCTCTCTCTGCACTCCAAGAACAACATCCGGGCTTAATCCTGTTAAGGCACTCATGTCACTGAACTGTCATTTCCTGTTTACGTCCGGCCTTTCTCAGCAGTCTTGAGATGTTGATGGCAGGGCTTGTGCCTTGCTTGTTGCCCCCTCCCTTGCACAAGACTCATTCACCAAAATTATTTGTTCAACAAATGAATGAAAGTAGCTGTATATCTAGATTAAATGTGGGAAATCTAAGGTTTAGATGAATGAGATTTAAGACTAGAGCCTGTGGAGGGTATTTGGGCAGTCATTTCTTTTCTATCTCAGAAGGCCTCCTAAATGTGTCTCTGTTTGAAAAAATACAGTTAAGGGTGTCTTGACCTCTCACTTCCCCCCTATCCTCCTGGGAACCACTGCTCTTCTTCTGAATCACTTGGAATAATAATACCAAGAATGCGTTTTCTGACCATGTATTAAAAGCAAGACACTGTGCTCAGCACTATATATGAGTTAATCCCTTTATGACTTCATGTGATACTCAAAATTCAAGAAGAGGCGATTGGTTATTACTTTAATTCTACAGATGAGAAAACTGAGGAACAGAGAGCCGCCTTCCGCTGTTAGTGCACATTTATGTAAACATGTTAGAAGGTACTTTTCCTGTTAGGTGGACCCAACCCTCAGCAGGGGCACATGGTTTGATGCGCATTACATGTGCTGATTTCAGCCCCCACTGTGCCGAGAGAGGGCGGACTTGGGACCTAGAGGCTCTGGAGGTTAAATTACTTGTTCAGTTTCCCAATTGAGTAAAGGCTAGAAGTGAGACTTGAACCCAAGTCTGTCTTGCTCTCAGGCTGGACACCTGCACAACCTGCCATTTGTAGCCAGGCCCCAAATGGATTTTTATAAAACAGGTTGGTAATGTGTGTGTGTGCATGTGCGTGTGTGTGCGTGTGTGCGTGTGTGTGTGTGTGTGTAAAAAGTCAGGTAGTGCCCTAACCGGTTTGGCTCAGTGGCTAGAGCATCAGCCTGCAGACTGAAGGGTCCCAGGTTCGATTCCAGTCAAGGGCATATACCTTGGTTGTGGGCACATCCCCAGTAGGGGGTGCGCAGGAGGCAGCTGATCGATGTTTCTCTCTCATTGATATTTCTAACTCTCTATCTCTCTTCCTTCCTTTCTGTAAAAAATCAATAAAAATATATATTAAAAAAAAGTCAGGTAGTTAGCATTTCAGGCTTTGGGGCTGTACTGTTTTTGTCACTTCTACCCAACTCTGCCCTGTTGTGCAAAAGCGGCTATAGACTTCTATAAACAAATGGGCACTGCTGGGTTCAACACAAATATGCACATTGAAATTTGAATTTCATGAAACACTCTTCTTTTGATTTTTTCAGCTATGTAATCATGTAAAAAATTTTCTTAGTTTGTCAGAGATCTTATGAAATAGATGTGTTGATTTAACCTTTGGGCCACAGTTTGCTAATTCCTAATATGGAATATTCCAAAAGAATCCAGTAAATGAAATTATCACCTACTCCACGATTCCCCCTACCCCAACTCTAAATTCATGGAAACAAAATTGTGGAGACCATTTCTCCCTTTCTGTGTCTGTTTTATTTTTAATAAGGTTGCTGTGATTATTTTCTAGATAGATTAAAACTATTCATGGAATTTTGAAATTTTTGACTGATTCCTCTTTCCCATAGTTATTTTGGAAGTGTAGTAGTGACTCTGGTTTGTTTTTATATTTCTGTGATTCTCTTAGCTAGAATTTCAGTTATATTTGGCAAAGTTTTTGACTGTACATTATAACTTGCTTTTAATGAAGTAAAGGAAATTAGATGCAGAGAAAGTTAAAAAACGTAATGTATCGAGGATGACAAGAAAATCTATTTCTTCTACCCTAAGATCAAGTTCAATATCCTGATATAGCTCTAGTTAACCAGAAAAGAATTTTGGCTTCATGGTCTTGACCAATATCTGGGTACTAAGTTGCTGACTGGACTGCTCAGTTAACTTGTATACCCTAATCTTTTTAGATATCTGAAAATGCTACTGTTCAAAACTATAGTTAGAAAGAATTGTTCTAACAAATGGCCAATTGAAAGGTCATTCAACAAATGACCAATTCCTTCTGTAATAAAAGGAATTACTACTTTTTAGAAATTTGTGTTTCCTATCTCCTCTTCAGCTTTTTCAGGTGCTAGCAGGTCCCTCAAACTCTGTGCTTTAGCCAAAGTTGTCTTTTTCTTGTTTTTGCAAAAATCCATTAATTCTGCTTTCATTTCCTCCCTGGGCTTTCTTATGATCCTCAAGGAGGTCCTCTCAGAACCTTAGGGCAGGTTAGCTCGCAGTTTGACATGTTTCTGTCGTAGTTTCCTTATATACTCACATTTGTAATGATTTTTTCAAGGTCTGTCTCTCTAACTAACCTGTGGGCTTCATGAAGACTTGTCTAACTTTGGTACCTGTTTAACCATGTGCCATTGAAACAGAAGCATGCCCAACCAGAAGTGAGAGGCATTTAGGTTCTGCGTATGATACAAATCTGTGTTATCATATCTAGTTCCCTTTGACTCTAAGTCTTCAGTTTGCAGCATGTTATCTGCTCATAGGAATGAAGTCTATGTATTTGACCTCTCCTTAATTTGTTTATAAAGTATGTGAACAATGAAATGACTTCCCTTTCATGATTGAAGTCTTTTATGCACTGATAGTGGCTCTGGGAAATCAAAACAAAGGAACTGGGAACTTCTGAACTTGTATACAGTTAACTGAGCCAATGTCTGGGACCAGGCATCCAGAGCTGGGTTTCATACATTTACAGCAAGTCCAGGTTGTCTGAAATTCTGTGCTTCCTCTGACCCATGTTCTATCATGCTTAGCTTAAATATGAAAAAAGAATAGGTCTGCAGGTCTTTAGAAGGTGTGTATTTTTGTTTTAATTTAGTGTAGACAAATCTTTGGAATCAGTTGAGATAATACTGTCATACTAAATGTATATTGCATCTAGACATGCATAGTGTTTTGTCAATTGTTCCTTATAGGGACATTTATTTTTAGGGAAAATCAAGAATTTAATTGCCTATCATGCCCAGCCCATCTACTTCTGATTCTGTCAGCATCATTTTCTGAATTTCCTACTCATAACACATTCATAGAAAAAAACTAACCACTAAACTTTTAGCAGGTCCATACCCCCTGCTTGCATATCCTTATTTCTGAACACAAGGTTTGAATTCTAAGAAAGGAAGCCAGATGTTCAGAGAACCCTTTTGAAAGCTATATAGCACAGCCAATGAACAACTTCCGTGAGTGCTACGGCTAGTCCCTCGTGCAGGAGAGGTCTCATGCCAGACTCATTTCATACACGAGCAGTCCCAGGCTGGATGTACCTTATACAAGCCCTTAGATGTGAAGGTGGGATCATAGATTTATACATTTGACAGCATTTCTTCCATAGGATACCCCAGTTTTTATGTATTTCTTTGACATTGTTTTTCTGTTTGCTTAGATTTTAAAGCTGAGCATAAGCAAACCTGTGAAGAGTTGCATGATTTTTCATGAATGCTTAGAATTCTGTGTATAAAGATGTACTTTGAGTATTTTCCCAAGTAGCCTGATGTATATTTGAATTATTTTCTATAACGTACTTATCTCTCTCCTACCCCACCCCCTGCCACACACCTCTTTCTATGTGCAAGATGCTTATTTAGATGTTTAGGATACATCAATGGCCAAATGTGGAGCTTATATTTTCATTCTCCCTAACTCTAGATGAATAAATTGCTAGATGCATAGATGCCTTTTTACTAGTGGCCTGGTGCACAAAATTCGTGCATGGGGGGTGTCCCTCAGCCTGCACCCTCTCCAATCTGGGACCCCTCGGGGGATGTCCCTCTTGCAATCAGGGACTGCTGGCTCCTAACCGCTCACCTGCCTGCCTGCCTGATTGCCCCTAACACTCTGCCTGCCGGCCTGCTCACCCCCAACTGCCCCCACCCTGCCAGTCTGCTCACCCCCAACTTCCCCTCCCTGCCGGCCTGCTCACCCCCAACTGCCCCCACCCTGCCAGTCTGCTCACCCCCAACTTCCCCTCCCTGCCAGCCTGATTGCCCCCAGCTGGTCCCCCCTCCTGGCCTGATTGCCCCTAATCCCCTCTGCCTTGGCTCTACCACCATGGCTTTGTCTGGAAGGTATCCTGGTCTAATTAGCATATTACCCTTTTCTTAGTATAGATAGAGGCCTGGTGCACGGGTGGGGGCTGGCTGGTCTGCCCTGAAGGGGGTTCCGGATCAGGGTGGGGGTCCCCTTGTGGGGGTGGGGCCAGCCTGGGCAAGGGGCTGATGGCTGTTTGCAGGCTGGCCATACTCCCATTGGGGTTAGGGTCCCTGCTGGCAGGCATGACCTGCCTGGAGGGCTGAGGGCTGTTTGGGGGTGGTTTGCAGGCCAGCCAAGCCCCCAGCTTTGTCTGGAAGGATGCCTGGAAGGTCTCCAGAAGATCTCCGGGTGTAATTGGCATATTATTCTTTTATTAGTATAGATGCTAAATTATTTTTTATGGTAAATATATGTAAGAACATTTTTGAGTGCCTTAAGAATGGTTTGATAGTAGATGGAAAAGCTCTGTGAAGATAGTGTGGGTGTGACGTTTTCTAGTTATTTTTGTTTTCTGAAAGAGAAATCAAATGAAATGATCAAGGATTCTAAGTGATACTTTGGTGGTGTCTGTTTTGGTTTATTTGTAACCTAATATTAGTTACAGAAGTAGCTCCCATGGTTAGTCCCTCTTCCATCCAGATAAAAACATTAGAAAACAAATGACAGCTTTAAATGTTCATGTGTACTTGATTCTAAATCTTTTTATGAAAATTTCTGAAGTTAGTTAATGTTTTATGGTCTATGCTGCCCTGAGAACTATTTATTTTAAAAATTATTTTTAATTTCAGTTTACATTATACATTATTTTATATTAGTTTCAATATACAGCATAGTGATTAGAAATTTTCCAGGCAAATATTGAAAACCAAAGAAAATAATTCAAATATACATCAGGCTACTTAGGAAAATACTCAAAGTGCATCTTTATACACAGAATTCTAAACAATCATATTCTTTACAAAGTGTCCCCCCTGATTTTCCAGTACCCACCTGGTCCCATACATAATTATTACAATATTATTGACTGTATTCCCTATGTTGTATTTTACATCTCTGTGACTGTTTTGTAGCTACCAATTTGTATTTCTGAACCCTTTCATGTTTTTCACCCAGCTCCCCTGAGAATTGTTTTAAAAGTTATTTTGTAATGGATTTATTGAAACTGAAAGCCTGCTAATAATAAATATCTTTGAAAATTGATTTGTTTTGGAACGGTTTCCAAGCCACTATCTAGAATCTCGTTTGCTTTGCATTTCTCTGTGATATTAACAGATGATCAGGAAGTGACACATTTCAAGATTTTTCAGATTAACCGAGTAAAATACTAGCACTTCCTTGCTAATACTTTTGAAAACTACCTTTTCTTCTTTTTTCCAGTTATTTTCAAATAAGATTATTATCTCTTTTTGTGCATAGGTCACTATGTATTACTCTTCCAATTCCATTATAAAATGTTCTGATTAAGTGCTACTACCATTCTCGCTTAAACATCAGAAAGTCTCTATTTGATCAATGCTAACATTTTCCAAAGTGGATTCTAGGAATTCCTGGACCTGTAGGTTAGTGAAAATGTTATGAGAAAAAACAAAGGCTTCTGTGCCGATATTAAATTGGACTTTCTTTTTCTTCTAAAAAACCAGAGCTTTAAACATGTTAATGGGCAAAGTAATTTTCTGAGAGATATAACAGTCTGACTTTTCCACACAGTTTGTTGCTTCAGGAACAACTGGCTTTCTTATTTGATGGATTAGTATGATGGTCTAATTTTAAGTGAACTGTTTAATTTCTCTGGGCCTCTATTTTTCAGTACCTTTAATACAATGCCATTCTAAGACCCATACTGGTAGGTCCTCTGCCCCGCCCCCAACATCTCAGTCTATCAGCTGTTGGAATCAACGTGGCTCTCATCCTGACTTCTGAGCTTCTACTGATTTGTTTGGAATGCCAGAAGATGTATCTCTGAAAATCTGCCTTATAAAGTGCCTTATAATGTTTTCATCCAGACAGTGTATTGATTTATTCTTTTTCTTTCCTGAGTTCTTTCCCTTAAAAAACAAAATGAAACATTATTACTGGGGATCCCACAGCATGGGTTAGGTGGAGACACCTTGCTCCCTTGGGACCTTTAGCTTTACACTAAAAAATCAGGCAGCATTCTTCTCTGTGTTTGTGGATGTTGCAATCTTATTTCTTTGGAGGCCATTCTCTCAGTAAGTAGCCTCGCATGGGGTGGCCACTGGTCAGTGGGCTGGACCTAGCCCTGCTTCCTAGAGGTCACAGCAAAGGCTTCCTTGGGTCGTGACTGCAGTTATGCTTGTGGGATGAACAGGTGGTTGCTAGAGGAAGGGGGTTAGAGGCAGAGCCCAGCGAAGGGCCTTTGGGCTGGAGGAACTCTACACTAGAAAGTAAAAGAACACTGCTGTGGCTTTTGTGGGGAGAGCATTCGAGCTGCCGTAAGAGATGGTCTGATACGTGAATGCACGAGATTGCATTCTGGCATTGGTGCATGTATACCATTTGCCAACAAGAACCGCTGTTGTTAACTTTTCACCTTGGTGATTTTTGATAGTCATCTCTTCTATCATTAAATATATAAAGTAAATAGTATTCCATCCTCAAAAAGTCGGGGGAAATTCTGCCTAGAGGTAATCATGATTGTAACAGTCCTTTCCCAGAGACAAAAGATAAGGATCATAGGGACCATTCCTGTAACCCAAATACTGATTCTTTTTTACATTCCTTTAAGGCATAATTTAAAACAATCTCTAGCACTTTAGAAGATTTTATATTTATTATTACTTGCCTTATAATAACATATATGAAATAGAATATAAAACAATTTATATAGTTTAAAGAATTTAAAGGAATAGAAATCTGGTTTGACATTATTATGCTTCCTTTATTGGTTTCTGGTGTTTCCTTAAAAAAATGTGTATCGGGTATAGACATAAGAATCATTCATACCTGTTGAGAATTTTTTTAATCCTCACCTGAGGATATGCTTTTATTGATTTTTAGAGAGAGGGGAAGGGAAAGATAGTGAGAAACATCAATGTGAGGAATTTCTCTCCCTTCCTCTCTCTCTAAAAAAAGAGGGGGGGATGGACATTCACTAGAATTTTTCACACAAACAAAAATGCCACAACAAACAAAAAAGTATCAAAGGAGGAGACTTAAGGACAGTTACATGAAATCCATTGTTGGTAGGTTAAGGGGGCAGGAGAAAGCAAAACAGGGACATCTCTGGGACAGGATAAAACAGAGACACATGATAGTTAATAACAATAGACAGGCTCACTTTAGATAAAGGTTGGCCTTTGTCAAGGAAGGTGCAGTCCTCGGACGTGACTGCCGGCCTTGACCTGTTTTTGCTTAGGATCTTTATGTTCAGACCATCCTGTGTGGTTACTCTCAGTCTCTGAGTTTGCAGGCTCACCACACAGGCCTCCCCTGAGCTTAGTATGTGGCCCCCTTTCGTCCACAAGGACTTGACCATTAGCTTCGCTGACCATCTTGCTTTTGTTTTCTTCCTCCTCCAGTCTAATGGGATTGCAGCCATCATTGCCATTCTGGTGTTACTGCTGCTCTTGGGCATCGGTTTGATGTGGTGGTTTTGGCCTCTTTGCTGCAAAGTGGTGAGTAAGAAGGATTTTTAGCTACTCCTTATTTAACCTGTGAGATATAAATAAGGCTTGGAATGTGAATCAACACTACATTGTTCACCAACAGCAAAGTTTCAATTAGCAAATTGAACTTCAATCATTTTTATCACTAATAAGTTCTAGGAAACATGCATGCCAATAAATATTTATTGTAAAACTTCATCTCAAAAATATTTCAAAATCAGGTGTGGAGGAAGAAGGGAAGAGGAAGGTAGAGGAGGTCATAGAGATAAAGGCTTTTGTACTAAGTACAAAAGAATTTCAAGTAAATTGCATGGTATTTTCTACTGGATTTATTGGAAGAAGTTGATCATCTGTCAGGTTTTTTTTTTTAATATATCTTTATTGATTTTAGAGATGAAGAGAGAGGGAGAGAGAGGTAGAAACATCAAGGATGAGAGAAAAATCACTGACTGGCTGCCTCCCACACGGCCCACACTGGGGATCAAGCCTATAACCTGGGCATGTGCCCTGAGCGGGAATTGAACTGTGACCTCCTGGTTCATAGGTTGATGCTCAACCACTGAGCCACGCAGGCTGGGTTGTCAGGTGTTTTTTTAAAGTGCGTATTGAATCTTTCATTACCTCTGTGAAAGATCTACTATTTCAGAACCTCTCTGTTTGCTTCTCAGAAAAGCAATTTAGAAATAAGTCATGTGCAAATGTTAGGGGAACTGTTAGACAGTCACTTTTGAGGTTATGCCAGTTGGTTTTTGTTTGTATCATGTTCCATGAGTGAGTAAAACCTCTGAGAGAATCTGGGAGTGAAATAGTTTTCTACTGCTGCTGTCTTAAATTGCCTCACATTGGGTGACTTAGCTTAAAACAATGCATATTTGTTATCTAACCACGATGTAATCACAGATCCAGCACGGGTCTCTCTGGGCTAAAAGGTATCAGCATGGGTACATTCCTCCTTTAGTGCTCCAGAGGACAGTCTGTTCCCTCGCCTTTTCCAGCTTCCAGACGACACCCGCATTCATTGATTAGGGGTTGTTATGGGTTCACTCAGCGAGATAGACCACCGACTCAGAATTTAAATTTAAGAGCCTTTATTAAGCTGGCCAGCTGACTACAGTTACAGCACCCTGCCAAAGCAGAGGCCGAACTGTAGTGCCCACTTCCATGGCCAGCGACTACAGTTACAGCACCCTAGCCAAGCAGAGGCTGAACTGCAGCCCAGACTACAGGAGTTACAGCATTTTTATTTGCAAAAACCACATAGTTACAAAACCTTAGTTCCCAACACAGTACAGCATCATTACAGTGACTACCTTCCTATCTATGTGTTCTAGGAACAGAGAGTACAGAGTGCTGGGAAGGGGCCATGAGACCATATCTCAAGGCCTGGCCTGATGTCAGTACCTTCCTATCTATGTGTTTTAGGAACAGACAGCACAGCATGACCCGTCTGGCCGAAGTGCCAGATATGCACCCCTCCCCCATCTTCAAAGCCAGCAACGATGCATCTCTCCTGTAGTCACGGCACCCTCTCTCTCAACCCAGCTGGGATGGCACCTCCAATGTTAAGGAACCATGTGATTAGGTTGGACACTAGGATAATCCAGGATAATCTCCCATCTCAAGGTCTTTAACCTTAATCGCATCTGCAAAGTTCCTTTTACCTTGTAAGGCAATTTAGTCACAGTTCCAGGGAATTAGAGTGTGGACATCGTTGTGGGGCTGTAATTCTGCCAGCTACAGGGTGGAATGTTGAGAGGTAAATACTGGCAGATTTTAAGCAATCCCGTTTGGACTCTTCAGGCGTCACAGAAAAGATTATCCTGAAGAGCACCTTTTCAAAGCATGCCTACTACTTATTCTGATAGTGTCCCTTTTATTAGCAGCACATCATTTAGAACTTTGTATTCCATAGATCACAGTATTGTTTTACGTACTATTACTAGGCTGCCTTTCCCTCTCATCTCTGCTGACTGATTTCAGCAACATCCGGCAGTGCTTTTGTATTAGTCTTGCCTCCATTATTCATTGTACTTCAGTCGGCTTTCACGAGGCAGCTTTACAGTCCTTTACGTCAGAGCCTTTGGCCCATGGAGGAGATACAGAACTAAACAACAGTAGAGACAAGAAGCATCCTGCCTCTTTGCTGAACTAATCAGTTTCCTGCCGTAGCAGTTTATGCACAAACGGCTTCCTGTTTTAATCTTGATTTTCCTAGCTACGACTATTGTAGAGCAGCTAGCATTCTTGAGTCTCAAATTTACAAAGCAAAAATGTGCCCTAAAGTGATTTGTACTCCTTGCGTTTTTATTTTAAATTTTGCAATGCTGGATTTCCTTCCTTCATTACTTTGCAATTTCATCTATTATTGGCCAGAGGGCTCACAAGTGTCAAAGTGTATGTTTTTTAAAGATACTTGCAAAAACTGAAGCAGGCTTCTTTGGGAGTTTACTGGATGTGCTCCAAGGAGGTTTCCACTATCATTTTGGTCGTGAAAATAGATCTATTTTGACCCTGAGACTCTTCAGATTGCAAAGCACATAGTGTATTTCCTTCTGCCAGGCTTAGGGCACCTTTAAAGGTGTGTTTTCAGGACGTGAGGGCTGCCAATCATGAACGTCTGCTAATTTCTAGAGCTTACTTACCAGAGAGAACCAGTTTTAGTTTACATTTAGAAATATAGACCGAGAGAGCAGCTAGCCCTGTGTATGAGCTGACACTTAGATCTAGGTATAAATGAGTCACAGCTAAATATTTCCTAAAGTAAGGTTTAAAAGCAGAGAGAAGGTAAAGGCAAAATTCTGTATTCAGCTCTTAGCAATCTAATAAGTTCCAGTATTGTGCTGGGAACTGGGGAGTGGGTGTGTCTGCACAAAGATGATGAGAATATGATATGAAAAACATATTTTAATATGAAAACACAGAACTGTGGGTAAAATGTCAATGGAGGGTCAAAAGTGCCTCAGTAGCAACGGGTGTAAACAGTAAGAACACAGAGGAAGAGGGATTTGCTAGAGTTAAGGGGCTATTTTAGAGGAACCTGACTAAGCTGCTGACTCTAAATTGAGCTTTGAATAATGAATAAGTTGTTGGCAGTTGGTGGGAGACATTTCCGGTGAAGTGTGTGCAGAATTACTAGGTATTCTGGCATGCTTTGGGAAGGCCGAGGCTGAGGCCTAGGGTGCCAGTGGCAGGGAGGGGTGAAGGATGGCTTGGGATGTAGCCATGAACCCCATTAGGGAGGACCTCCTCTGTCTTTTAGGAAGTTTGAACTCTCCCTGGGCATGAGGAGAAGCCACTGGAAAGGTTTGATCAGTATAATCCTCTGAAAGAAGCTTTTCTTGTTGCTTGGTTAGAGGTCTGGTCCTCAGGGGGTTAAGTCTGCTTAACTGCTTAACGCAGTTCCATCAACAATTGAAATGGGAAGCCAGTGACAAGTAGTACATCTTAGAAATGGTTGCAGCAAAGTATCTCTAACAAAGTGTGGAGAGTTGGAGAATAACATAGAGGCTAAGTGAGCTAGGGAAACATGGAGAGGTGATGGAAAACCAGGGGCAGAGGAGACTAACCTTGTGGAAAAAATGTTGAGTGTATCAGGTGTTGTAGTATAACTGCGGGAACTTTATTTTACTTTGTTCCTTTTACAGAATACACATGTGCAATGCTGGAATTAGAATGTGGTTATTTAAATAATTCTTAGCATTAACTTATCAGGGATCAGTTTGACTTCGATTGTCGATTGTTAGCAGTGATATTACTTTTTAATGGGGTGAGAAATGCATTTCTCTCAGCTTGGTGTTATAAAGCTTTCTTTTTGGTTGCGTGTGTTTTAAGTATCAGTGGTAGAGATTTAAAGGTATGTCTGTTCTCTGGGCATGTTTACATCATGTCTGTGATTCACCTCTTAGGGAGTCACATGCTCAGAAATTCTTATCAGGATAGAGAGCCTGCGGGAAAAGCCCTGAACAGAGGCCTTAATATTTGTCACACATTCTTCATTCAATGGTTTCATATTTAATGGGAATATCTTATGAAATGATTTGATCATTCATTGTTTAAAAATTACAGTTTCATGTATAATAATAGCTCAAATATGACAGTGTTACTTATATCTTAGACAGTGATTCTCAGTTTGTTTGTTTTTTCATGCCTGAGGACTCCTATAAGAGTGGCTGTCCGACTTCAGTGGTGGCCGTCCTCCCTGAGGGGAAGGAGGGCTGAGATATCCCGGGATCAGTGCAGTTTGGAAAGCCCTGTGTGGTAGGCTGGCTAATGATCTCTGAAGTTATCTGGGTCTTAATCCCTGTACACTGAATGTTAGCTTCTATGGTGAAAGGGACTTTGTAGATGTGATTAAATTAAGGATCTTGAGATAGGGAGATTGTTCCAGGATGACTTAGGTGGATTCCTAGATCAACCATTGTAGTTCATTATTTAATGAACTAATAAAGAAACATATATTTCTATATCAAAGATTTAGGGTTTTTTACACACTTGATAATTATATTTTAATATAATTGGGTTTCTTTAAACTCTGTTTATTTTAATTTAGCTTAATTATTCCGAGAAGGGGTTCCATAGGTTCACCAGATTGCCTCTGAGGGGCTTAGGATGAAAAGGTTAAGAAAACAAAACAAAACATGCAATAGAATCTGGACAGCCAAGATGCTTTTAATATGAGACTATTTAAAAATTTTAAATCTTTCAGTTTATTTTAATGAGTATTTTCAAGACTAAAAGAGAAATGATATCATTTAAAATGTTGCAGAATAGTGTCTTTTCTGTGCCTGGGCTTTCCATGACAAATAGAAATCTAAATCAATGATATTTGGAGAACTTTATCTAGTAATAATCACAACAAAAGAGCCCTCATGCAAAGCTGACATTTTGGGGCACTACCAATAGTGAATTATGGAGTGTGTTGAGTTTGCAAACTATTCCATAAGGGGAAAAGTTCTCATTTTTGTATGAAGTTATTTCTCACCATCTGTTAAGAGTCTGTATCCTGCTCA